GTATGTTTTATATCATTTCTCACGTCTATGATGATTTTTACAATGAATTTTGACAAATTCCGATACCGATCAATTTTATTCATTTCAATTTATTTAATTTAATTTATGATATTATCAAAAGTTTCTCAATATTTATAAATAAATAATAATTTGTATGATATATAATTTTAATGTTCGGTTTTGAACAATTGAATTTTTAACCGTTCCATTACGATATTTGAGATTATATTTATAAGCTTGATAATCTAATTAATTCAATTGTTAAATTAGATTTGATATGAAAATTATTTGGGATAAGCAAGCATAGTTTAGTATTTTGATACTTTTTTTTTACTCACGTGTATTTGGGACTATTCAACAAAGGAATATAATCTTTATCGTCGGCTTTAATAATTCATTCGCATAATTTTCCATTAGGTTATGGGTACTTTGTTAAACGTTACTTTTCCACGGAGGTAGATATTTATTGCTTTACTCACGCTCATTAGAATCAACTAATCCTGTTTTGCATACACGTATATACATCTATGCATTCTCGGCTCTTGCGCATTTCTATATAAGGATTGTCCTTATCATGGACATTATTTTCGAAGAAATGAAAGGATTTAAGAATTTTATAGCTTTTATTTTATATATCGGTTTCGTTTGGAATTAAATAAATAAATAAATAAATATGACACAGAATTCTTCCGCATTTTAGTTTCTAAAAATCAAAGAGAAATCTATTAATAATAATACTAATAATAAAATAAAAAAACACGACAAATAGATAACATTAGAAATCGTCGTGTTGATCTTAACGCATTCGTATACCCATTTTACTTCTCTAATTTCCTCGTAGGGTTTTTTTAGTCCTTGAAAAAAGAAAAAAAAAAGAAAAAAAACCAAATAAATTACAAGTTACATTATCGATAAGATTCTTAACGAATCGTGTGTATGTTCTATCTTCGCGTGTCTTGAACGAAGCTTCTTTGAGTTAAATTTCCAAATCGAGATGATCAACTGAGTGGTGCACCGGAATTCAGAGACAAATGTCCCGTTAAATGTGACACCCCCGCATTATCTGGGATTAAGATCTCAAACGCGAACGACCACAGACGTTTTAGCGTACCTCTGGCACGCAGCGTGAGTAAAAGAGAAGAGAAACGGAGGGATTCGTGGAACTGAGGGAGCCTGTTAACCTGGTAGCATAGAAGGACAACGGGTCGCTTCATTACCTGAAGAGATAACAGAGTTGTCTTGCATAATAATGCTCGACCCTCGAAGCAGAAAACAGAAGTCGTTCTCCTTCTCGTTTCTTCTTCCATTATCTATCTCTCTTTTTCTTACGATCTTTCTATCCTTCGATTCTCTCTCTCTCTCTTTCTCTTTCTCTCTCCTTCTCTCTCTTTTTATTCTTTCTCCTTCTATTTTACCTTTCATTTAGTAACAACCTTGTCAATCAAGTTCGATTACGAATCATGAGACTCAAAGTCGGACCTTGAATTAATCAAAGCATAACTTATAGTAAATTCAAATAAATTCGATAATAACGTTAAGATACGGGAAATACGTTGCACGTCTCTCGGAATCTATTTTTAATTTCTTTTTTTTTTTTTCTTTTTCCACAGACGACGTCTAATTATGAACGAGAGCCAAAGAAAAAAATCGATCTTCCTCGGTTACTATAAATTTACTCAAGTGCGACGAATAGATATTATTATCGCGTTCAAGCGTTCGTAATTTCATTAAAACTGAAATGTCGAATAAGCAATGCAAATGATCGAAATATATTTTTGTCTTATTCTTGGTTATAGATTCATAAGCGATTAGATAAATTCGTGTGATAATGACTTTTTCACGTTCATTTCTACAGGGAAGTTTACGTCACGTATTCAAATCCGTCGGTGTATCGATGAATGTAAGCGTGAACGTTCCGTCCATCGAAAACACGGAACTAGTTTCGTGCACCACCCGCGAGCATCCTCGTGGATCGTAGAGAGGCCTTTTGATACGGTATCGTGACTCCCATGAATATTTAATGAGCCCTCGAACCCTTCGATTTGACGAGGGTCGAAGATTAATCCTCCTGCGGATGATCCTCCTTCCGCCATATTAAGGAACGTGTTTCGTGCGAGATTATCGAAGATTCTATGGCGTTTATCGTGAAAACGATTCCTCGAACTTTCTCTTTCTCTCTCTCTCTCTCTCTCTCTCTCTCTCTCTCTCTCTCTCTTTCTCTCTTTAGCTTTCTTTCTCTCTCTTGTCTTTCTTTTTCCATTGAAAACGAATTACAAAAGTACGAAAGATTTATAAAAAGAAAAAAAAAGAAAAAAAAAAATTATGATCGAAATCCGAGCATAATCTTGACGATAATGAAACATTTGAAATAATTAAAATGCAAATGACGATTTGACGATTGAAAAGAAAAGATTTTATATAATTTGATTTATAAAATGAAAATAAGTTTTATATTAATCAATATGGATGATTTAAAAATTAAAGATAATATCGATGATTTGAAAATTGATGACTTATATCAAAGCGATAGTATCACGCTATGAGTTTAACAGGTATATCTTCTTGGTAAAGAAAATTAAAATTCTAACTGCATTAATATCTCTCATCATATTAATGAATTATAAAATACTATCTGGTATATCTTCGCGTATACCAGCCACGCGCGACTTTAGTAATATGTAAATTCTCAAGTAAACGGGCATTTGATTCGATCGTCCGCGAACGTACCGGCCGCTTCCACTTGTGCGTTCCAGGGCCGAGAAAATGTCGATGATGTTACTGTCAATAAAACGTTTCGCGGCTAATATCGTACTCGTATATGAACGACGCATACACGCATAAATACCATTGATTCGATAAAAACCAAAACTCGTTATCTCATGAAATATATACTATATACTTATATATATATATATTTTTTTTTCATTTTTTGTTTCTTACAACTTTAATATAATTATATTTCATTTCTCATAAAATATTTAATAAGTATCTTCATACTTTCTAAGGTTGTAAATGTTCGATATAATATTTTATTAAAAAATTTTATAACAACTATAATTCGTATCTTTCAATAATTTGCAATCAACTAAGAAAATAATTTATCGCTTAGTTATTCATTCGTTTCTTAATATTACAATAAATTAATAACATAAATCTTGACAAAATATAAATCTTTCTTTTATTATAAATTACTTTTGATGATATATATTTATAATATTTAAGATATATTATAAATATTTTATTTATTTATTTCACGAATGAATTAATATGATGATTTTCATTTAACGGAACGTTCTGCAATAACTAACTCATTCCCATTATCGAAAAGCGTACCGTTCGATTAGCTACGGTAATAGGCAGCTTCGTTTTAGATAAGACTGTAACCGAATATAAGCGACGTCATCCAAAAGCTTTCCAGCGTAGAACTTTAACGTTCTGATCCACCGTGAGGTGGTAAGTATAGCAAACCCGAAAGTCGGAAGAAGGGAGAGTTGATTCGTAACTCCAGGGGTGCTGTGGCACGGGTGAGGACGCTTCGCTGCGTTTCTGATTTACTGGAGTCGCAAACGCAAGTCTCGAGAATGGGGTGCAAGCGGAGCAGAGAAGCTCGGTTAGCAGATAGAAAGCTGAGACAAAGAAAGAGAGAGAAAGAAAGAGAAAGACAGACAGAGACAGAGAGAGAGAGAGAGAGAGAGAGAGAGAGAGAGAGAGAAGAAACCAAGAGAGTTCCATGTATATATGGAACTTCAATGTTTCGTACAAATACCAGAGCGTTTCATAAATGTCTCTGGTTTTGTTACAGACTTACAATAAGATGATAATACCACGAATATGGATGAATTAATATATCTAACTTGCGTTGCGTGTCCGCAATATGTGCTTCTCATGTAACGTAGTCTGATTGTATAAAGCGAATTTTAGAAACGATATAAAATAGAAAATTTAGTTATTTGAATGAACGTGACGATTATTACGTTTAATAAGATTGTTTTATTATTTACAAAAATATAATATATATTATTGTATTGTACAAATGTTAATTAATATTCAATTTATAATTAAATATGGCATAATAAGATAAAAAAAATATATATATATATATATTTCTTTTATATATATATATAGAGAGAGAGAGAGAGAGAGAGAAAGAGATAAAGAGGAATGGAGTGAAAGGTTAAAGAAAAAGTTAACGAAACATTTGTTAGCGATGAGAAAGTCCGAGGGAAAATCGTATGTATGTCGGCGGAAAATCAACAGAAATTTAACCGATTAAGCCCATTACGTCGACGTATCTCGGTTAACTCCGACTTGTGTGCTTAGATTAGAGAGAATCTAGCACGGGCCTGGTATGGAATTTTCTACGTTACCGCGCACATATTTCGATCACGTTTCTACGGAATTTACAACAGACACAAACGTAGATATATAAGTACATGTGTAGTCTCCTTTCTCAAAGATTATTTTCACCGCCTCGTTGTCTTATAAAACCTGTCCATGCTTGTTTATCCTTGGAATATTTTGACTCAACGTCAATCGAAGAAGTTTTTTTTTAAATAGTTCTAATTAATATCATGCTCATTGTCAATTTTCTTAGAGCGAATTCATTAACGTCTCTATAATTTTTAACATCTGTCAGAAATAACATACTTGATTGTAATAATACCGAGAAAGAGACATCGAAGATTAACAGTATCTATTACATAATTTTATTACATAAGAATGAATTTTCTTTTTCCAATTATATATATCGTATCAACAATATCGTAATAAGTTACTGTTGAAAGGATCGTCTAGATCTTTCCTCGCACCATCGTTTTACCTTATGTTAATATAACGTTATATATTTCATCATAATCATGTACCTCACCAAAATGAACTTCGCGCGTGTCAAAATAAAATACAGTTTGGAATGATTTAACTACTAACATGAAAAGACCGTACGACACGAGAAAAGTTCGAAAAGGATATGATAGACATTTTCGGAGAGTTACGAACGATCC